CCTCATAGAGATGCATCATTGAGAAAGTAGTGTTTGCTGACTGACTAAACGCGTTACTTGTTTTCTGAATTTCACCATTCACACCACAATACACTGCTTCCTTTCTATGGGAAGTTGGTTGTTCTTTGTCTGCAGTTGGGCTTGTAGTGCATTGAAGAGTCAAATTGTGCAACATAAATCAAACGCTCGGCAAAGGATCCCACGCTGATCACAACGAAGATCACTCTTCAGAACAGTTCGCTATCTCCCTCAAATGCTTGCTAAATAGGAGACCCCCACTCCTTCTTCCTTTTCTTCTTCGTCTTGACAAAGAGTCAGGCCTAGTGAATGAATCAAAGTAAAAACCTATTTTAACTCTTGTGTGAAGACACGTCCTTTACTGCTCACCGCAGCGAATTTTTGCACCTCCAGTACAATGGTTCGGAGTTAACACCCCACCTCCATCCTCACTCCACCTTCCATTCCCTCTCTTCTCTTGAGTCACAGTCCTCAACGTCCAATGACCACCGTCGTTTAGCGTTGACAGTAGACAATCACATGGCCGCGTGGGAGGTGCAGCGGACAATTAGGAAACAAAAGGGAGGTAGATGTTGAGATAGCTCAAAGGGCACTTTTAGACGCAAATTGCTCTGTAAAGTCCAGTTCTCAGCTAATGATTGACCCGTTTGGAAAGACTTCTGGGCAGAAAATTGGTTGTGTGTAGGAAAAAAAGTGCTTTAAGGCGCCTCTATCGGGTAGCTGTCTTTTGGCTACGAACAAACCATATGATCTTCCTTTATGGCCTCGTTTTATCAGTCCTGTTTGCCTTTCGGGCTGTGACAACAGGGGTTTTTTGTTCATGAATGAGTAAAATTGGGAGGTCGTAGACATTTCCTCTCGTTTGTAGAAGACTTTAGGCACAGTACGGTGCGCCAAAGTGATGGTGAAAATGCTCAGCTGCTCGTCAGTAAGGCATTTAAATGACTGTAAAATATTCATTTACTTTCTTTCTGTACAATCCTTTTAGAAAAGGCAGGTGTTGTGGAGAACGTGGAGGAGACCGATACGACCGGCTTATCCGAAAAGGACAAAGCAGCGTTGGAACGGGCAATGGAGGAGAAGGCGGATCTGGAGAAGCACGGCGCCATCATTGGATCAATTGCACTCACACTCATAGTTACCACAATCATTTGCATGTGTAAGTTTTTGCTTCCCTCGAAGGCGAAAGTCTTGCGCCCGGGCAATGTTTGCTGCGTCTACTTTAATAAAAGGTTAATTTTAAAAGACGAGGTTTTGGAGTTAGTATTGAGCTCTAATCGAAGAGATCAGTGATATTCTGACTTCCTGTAAAGAAATCCACGGCTTTAATGGCTAAATTAATTAAACCCGGTGCCGCACCGTAATTCTCGAGTTGTGATTGGTGACATTCCAATTAGCCTTGTGTTTGATTGGAGTGCATTAAAACAAACCAGCTGTAACATTTTCCTTTAACTTTTGCAGTTTTTGCGATTCGTCGAAAACGGAAAGAAGCAACCCACCATGTGATTGAAGTAAAACTACCCTCCGACTTGGACAGTCCTCACTTAAGTGGCGCCAATGCTAATAACGGCACTAAAAATATCGCCTCAACCTCTCTCCATCCCTCCAAACTGCCTTCCGAGAATGTGATTATTGACTTGGAGGATATTGAAAATGAACCGGTTTTCTCTAGCTCTGGAGATGCCCTCTTGGGTCGGGAACCGAGTTCGGCTCAAAAGGGGATCCTAGGATCCAAGGGTATTTTTACAAACCATAATTGGGATAGAAAAACGTCCGCAGCCATGTCTAAAGCCTTTGGACTGAGTGCAAATTCGAAGTCACCATCTGCGAAGCCCGGGATTCCGAGGAATGCTCTCTTTCGGCACCAGCAACTTCAACAACAGCAGAAGTCCCAACGGGGTGCGTGGCAATCGGACGTCAATTTGATCCAGCACTCCCAAATTCAAAACAGTCGAGGGAAACTGAGTGAGTTTGCTGTGTCCAGTTGTAAGATTTATTTATAACCAATTTAGCGGATTTTGTAAAATCAAATTCAAAGTTTGCTAAAGATGGTAACAGCTCATTTGTGTTAAGAAAGCATAGTCCGCGTTCCTCCTCATCCTTTCACGTCGCAACAATCACTACTCCTGAGGATACTTGCCTAAAAACCGAGCCAACGTGTTTGCTTTTTAGTGGTGTCATTCCTGAAGGGATCATTGGAATACTGGCACTCTAGAGATATCGCTTTACTAGATAGCTTCCTCTCCCTCCACCTCCTCCTGCTTTTCTTCTGAGCCTCGTTTTCGGCGTTGGTGTCAATCTCCCGCTGGACAGGAGCCCTTCGAATTACTTTTAGCCAGCTACGATGGGGAAAAGCAATGTGATACACGGAATTTATGTCACTGGGACATTGGTATCTATCAAAGCAGTGGTTTGAATATTTGGGTGAGGAATATTCTGCAGTATCAGTTGTTTCGGTTACTAATGTCGTGGATGAGGTGCCACAATCTCGTGCATCTCGTCATTTTAGATTGAATCTGGTATCGTTTTGCGGGACACCGGATTAGGGTGGTCGTTGTGGCCTTGTCAAACCCTTCTGCAGTGAAGATCCACAGATTAATACATTTCCAATAAAGGCCTTCTTTCTGTGACGAAGGCGACCAGTCGGAGAAATTAGGGTGGTTGTCCTTGTGGATCGCGCTTGCTTACCTCTGCCGGCAGTGTAGCCCTCCCAGCCGTAAGACGCAAGAGGCCATATAAAGTGTGAACGAAGACTTATCACTCCGGTATGGAAGGACCGGAAGGCCATGCTTGGAAGATGTTGGGACGCCTTTCAGCGACTGAGGAGCTCGCATAGTTACACGCATTGTCAAAAAGAGACGTTGTTCTGTTATATAATCTGTTGAAATCCACTGGCTGTATCCCTAGTGTAGCTTTTTCGATTTCGCACCGTATTCGCAGGCTCAATTTGTTGGGCAAAACAACAGCCAAATGGATTTTAACCAATGACAAATTTAGGAACTGGTTTGCATTGCTGTGTTCATAAATCTTCCAAACAAGTGGAATTTTATGACCAGCAATTTCTCGGACAATCTAATTTGTGATTTTATTTTCATTCCAACTTTGCCGAGGGAGTTTGTTTGGGGATTAGCCCACTGAATAATTTCCCTATTTGCGTTTGAGGAACTTCGCTCTTCCACAGAGGACGAAAATAATGCTCCTCCATGCTTTAACAATTCCTCCTTCCAATCATTTGCGAAATGCATTTGTTTTGCCGTGCTTGTGTCATTCTAGCGGGCATACTTCGGCATCCTCACATTCGAGGCCGTTGGCCATGGATCGTGGCCTAACCCGCACTTATTAAAAAGCTCCAAATTTAGTTTTACATGCCTTTTAGTTTTTATGCGATGTTCCTAGCACTGACCTTAGTTGCCCGTCCACAACGAGTCATCTTGTAAATTGTTACCAAATGGAGGATAGGCGAAAAGATAATGCGGTAAATTTACACCACAGGGAGGCTACTACTTACCAGTGATAGTACATACCGTATCAGCACGAGGAAGAGGAGGAGTAGGGTCGCTTAGAAATATGCAGTAAGGATTTCTGTCGAGTCGGTTGCCATCCGTCAGAGTCCAACTTTTCCCATTCGCAGTCACTGGGTAGAACCCGCAACACTTACCGAGAGGTCGACATTGTTTCATGACCGCTCTCTAGAGGGTCTCCATCGCGGATACTTCTTGATTTGGTTGTTCTGGGATTTAATCAGGTCTCCTCAACTCTACCACTAGGGTATCGCTTAGTAACAACTGTGGCCTAGGAAGTTCTTTTAACCCAGAAGGAAGTACAGCTGACGGAGAGTAAATGGCTCGCTTGGTTGAATTTACATTTAACCGAGCGCTAGTTCAGTACCCCTATCAACTTTGGATAGTGAATCGCTAAGCAGGTTAACGTCAGCCTTTTATTTATATTTTTCATGCCATTTTGACATTTGACATTTTTATAAGCAACGGGGGACTTGGTGGTTCACTTTCAGTCCTCTCTTTTAAAATCCACGGTGGTTGGTGTTGTAAGGCGGGTCATTCCTAACCACACACCTCCCATGTTTCCCGTTGACATTTTGCTCCCTTGGGGGAAAACAGGGAGGCGGACAAGTGAGGTAGGGGGCATAATCGTCAGCATCACTGCGCTTTGCATCTGTCACGAAGTAGACAAGAACGCGGTCTAAACACGAATCATATTTTGTGGCCCTTTTAGGTTTCCTCTTGCCCGCCATTAAATGAGATAATTATTCCTCTTAAATGATAAAAGAAAGCTGACTTCGACAAAAGTCTCCTCATTTCGTCATTCCTCTGTCATTCCCTCTTTTCCCTTCTGGATTTTTTTTCAGTACAAATTTGATGAGCTAAGGAACCAACTATGCTTTGATAGACTTGCTTACCCTAGATGGACAGCGTGAGCTTACCACCTTAACAACCAAATGGAAAGTTGACTAGCTACTTTCTTTAAGGCGCCCCATCTACCCGGATTCTCCTCTGAGGTTGTCAAGCCCTCCAGCTCAAGTGTTTTAGTGCTCTTCTCCAAAGGAAATCATTTCCTCTTTTAAATTACCTGTGGCACATTCGTGGGTGAGTGACCGTGACTCGTGGGATCAGACCCGTAGGTCGGGAGGTAGCATTTACCTGACACTGGTCGCGAGTCCGTTAAAAGCAAGTGACCGAAAAAAATCGTGGCCCGTAGCATTGTCTAGGGACTTGCAAAGCGCTTGCGGTTGGTTTTATGTCATACATTTTATGAGTTAGTTGGCCTACCGATGCTGAATTTTGTATGTGCACCCTAACCAAATTTTCCGCCCACTTTAAACCTTCTACAACTTCGACTGAGCCTAGTGGATGTAGTTTGAGGTTGTCTGGTTTTACGAAATGAATTCATCTCGGGCCCGAAACCACAAAAGCCATCTTCTTGTCCAATATTTCCCCCTCGAACTTCTGAGGAGGTGTAGCATGAAGTAGCAGAACATACCTCCCGGAATTAAGTGATGTGAATGGGCAGTTGGGCTCCAGTGAGGGAGGGGATTATTGAGAGAGAGGTACCACCTCCATATCAGCCTCTCCCTCCGTATTCCCCTGACGGCGATCAAAACGGCAGATGTGAAATAACCCGTTTCACCGGAGGATAAATAATGGGCCAGAAGTGGTGGTTGCTAAGGCTGTATTCATGAGTCTGCTATCTAGAGAAGCAGGATTAATCAACTTTTTGAGTAATCGTGTGGGCATCATTTTTCTTATCTTAAATTCTCAATGCTTTGACTTCTACGAATTTTGGACATTTATAATGCGAAGGGGGAATGGAAGCTACGCTAAATGCAGTCTCACATGGGCCAAACGTCTTTGGTGTCTTGTCGTCTCTCCTCTCGAAGTGACTCCTCTCCAGATATTACTAGTTGATAATCCGTCGTTTTATTACAATTTTAAATAGAAATCTGATTTTTTTACGGTCCACTTATAAAAGCGTAGTGCTTTCAGGGCCCCCTTAAGTGAAGGAAGCTATCAGGCCTTGCTGGAGCGGAAATGCAACTTGAAGGGTTCGCCAATTTGGATACAAACCAGAACAAATACACAATGCTTAAAAACGATTGCTGGTTTGATTTGCAGCAAAGGCCATTTATTACTAAAACACTTCTGCTCCCCTAATTATTTGTTCGCTTAGCTGAAATGGCTCTTTCATCCTTGCCTCAGCGCTTCACGTCCTTAAAATTTTACATGCAAAAAGTGCCTGGTAAACGCATACAGGTAAATAAATTTACTGATTCCGTGCCCTAGATCTTCACAACTCCACAAATTGCCTTCACATACCTTTGCGTATGCCAACGCCGCCATTATATTGGTTGGAATCTGGCACGACCTATCCCCAGTAAATGATGAACGACTTGTAAAAGCCACGAAAATGTGTGCTACCTCTTGGTCCTGGAATCGCTCACACCATTATCATCATTACCATCATCCACACACTTGTGGCGCGTTTTCATGGTCGCCCTATTGCCTCCTGCTTATCCACTTTCACTTTGAGGTTTTGGACAAAATATCAATAATCAGATCTTTGACCTTTCTTTTAAAACGAAGCATATCCCTTTTGATTTGATTAGGTATGAAGAACTCATGTTGATCGGTTAACACTTCTTAAATCCATTTAGTAGAGGGCATTACTAAAGTCATCCATCCTTTTTGGCTCACGCATTGGCCGACTACTCCGTTTCAGTTCTGAAAGCAGTATTGATGCAACGGCATTCTGGATATATTGCTTTACTGATATGCTCCTCTTCTGAGCCTCGTATTTAGCGCTGCTATTACTTTCTCGCTCTTTGACTACTGCGACAGGAGAAAGAAAGTAGTACAAGGAATTCACGTCACTGGGAGGCTGGTATCTATCAAAACAGCGGTTTGAATACTTGGACCACGAGTTCTCTGCAGGTCAAATTGTTCCATGGAGGAAGTTTTTTGAGAGATAGGGCTGGAAGTTGGACGATGCTCCACAGTGAATAGGCTTTACGTGGCAATACCTCTTCGCTGTATTACACCACTTCCTTAAGATGTGTTATAAACAATGTTGTCTACGAACATGTAGAAAGCCTCTCGCCAAGGTCGGTTGCTATTGGCTGAAATTCGATCCTCCTCCATCATTGGTTTTGCAAAGGACCCACCAATTAAGCCACCCACATTTGTAGAACGCTGACGATTTGTCTGTTCGGATCGGTCTCTCCTACCGTTGTTATCGACACAGCACTTCGAGCCTTTGCTGAAGTCAAAATAACCCTTATAAGCCTATGAAAGGACTCATCTTTCGCCTTCAGAAGAGCTGAGAGGCTATAAGCAGTAGCGGGGCCTACAGCGCATGCCTCTTCCTCTCGTGCAAGATAATCGATCTTATCAGAACGCTTCGTGAGGTCACCTTCGCCCAGTATGTCAACCGCTTTGACATCAAGAGATCAGAATTGCAGATCCGTTGCATCTCTAACTCAATTGAAAGCCAGTTTTTGGACTGAAACGAAAAACTTGCCAATTTCCAAGCATTTTTCTCAAAACTGGCCTAACCCCGCACAAACTACACTGGAGGTTGGAAAAACTGGCCCAGCTGTGCCATTTAATATTTCGGATTTTCTGAATGAATTAAAGAGGCCAAAAACCAACCCTCCCCGTCATTTGAGCAACTGTCAACGTTAAGCGCTCGTGTTTGCATTTTCCCCTCCCTTTGCCATTTAGCCAAGTGCGGAAGTATTTGCTTGCAAAAAATATCTTCCCCACCTTTCGCATGAACAGAATAGTATGGCAATTCCGCTACCCTGCAATTAAATAGCATTTGACAGACATGGAACACTTCTAAGGCAAAAACAGCCCTGACTTTTTACTCTTTTGCCAAAGTTCTTTTTACTTAAGGCTGTGGGCTGCTACTGGTTTGTTTTTCCCGAAAAGTTAACAAAACGCTGTCTGGCAATGAGTTAAATCCGGTTTTCACGCCATTTCTGTTACCTGATTGGATTGCTTCTCAGCATCGGTTATAAGCGGCTGCAAATAATAGACTTAAGTCGATTCTTATTCTTTGTACAATTTAATGATTAACCAATGGAGTTCTATCTAAATCGACCTTTGTTACTTGATTGGGCGACTGCAAATAACATAGCCGGGCAGTGAATTCCCACACTTTCATTGGTTCCTCCTCTACTAGTGACTAGCAGTAGTCATTCTCAATCCTTTTCGGAATTATCTTTGTTCGATGGAAAGTTCTCAACTCAACAAATTAATATAAGTGTACTTCCACGTTTTTAGATCGAGGCAATTCAGTACAAACGGCCGATGAAGTGGCGAATTTCCGCTACATACAACCTCAACTGCCACCCCGAGTGACTAATCCCCCACCAGTAGCAGCCAAGAATCGCCAACAGTGGAATCACCGTCAACAACAGCAAAGAGAGGAGCAACATCATCGAAGTCAAAATGGGCGCCATCATCATCACCACCACCATCGTCACCGACAACACCATCATCACCGCCATCGCCAACAGCAACAGCAACCATCAGATAAGGAACGCCATCAACCTCCACAATCAGTTCTTCTCCTACGGCAAAAGACCTACAGCACAGATGTGCCAGATTCTTCCTGTCAAGAGAGCCACGTGTTGAATTGTCGAATGCTCACTGAGCAACAGCGGACGCTTTCCCTCGCTACCTCTCGCTTCCGCCTCTATGACAGCCGCGAACTGACGCTCTATGGGGACGGTTTCAGTAGTAGTGGAAGTGCTTCCAGATCTTCTTCCTCACTTTCTGCATCCTCTGCCTCCACTTCAAGATCCACCGATTCCACAGGCTCTCCTTCCACCTCCTGTTCCTCTAAATCAACCACCACAACTTCATTTTGTCCACAAAAACGTGTTCTACGAGAATACCGAGGTTATGAGAACCTCGTGCCTTATAGCATCCGCTTGAAGACCTTTCGCAGCATGCCAGACGTGACTAGGGCTGCTGGACCTCCTGCAATTGTTCCCGGAGGCGGTGTTGGTAGTGGTGGTTATCGTTTTGCAGTCAGTTGTGGTCACAAGGATTGTCGTGATTACTATCGGCTACAGGCGTTAAGGTCTGATCTTCAGACGGAGCGGCGAAGACCAGAGAGAGTGGGGGCAGAAAAACCGGCTCTATTTAAGGAGAGAGAGATAGAGATAACACCTTCTTCAGAGGATGGGGAGGAGGAGGAGGTAGGGGTACAGAATGACAACAGTGGAGGTGGAAATTCCGGGGAAACATCAATTCCCCTGTCCAACCTGATTGCGTCGGATGCCTACTCGGTGCATGGACTTAGTGACGCGATAAGCGTTGAATCCTCCAAAGACGGGGTCAGTGGAAGTGAGGCTACGCACTCTGCTGTCAGTAAGTCTGGAGATCGTATTGGTTGGTATTGCTATCCACTGATTGATTTCGAGGGAGTAAATTACAAGCCTTGTTAGCTTTTGTGTGATCGCTGGATAAATACAGCATTTGGGATAACAGACTTAGGCATTGCCAGAGGTAAACAAATTATTTCTTGCAATTTATAAGGAATTTTCGGTGAATGGGTGGAGGAAATTATCACTTTCAAACAGGACAAAGGCTAGCTTAGAATTGCACTTTTACAGAGGCATTTGTCTCCAAAAGCAAACAACTAATTCTCGTTCGAGTTATCGCCACTTCTATCTCCCTTTGGATTCTGAACCATCTGTTCCACCTCCCACGCGGTCATGTGATTGTCTACTGCCAACGCCAAACGAAGATGGTCATTGGACGTTGAAAAATGTGACTCAAGGGAATAGCGGTAATGGAAGGTAGGATGAGGATGGAGGCAAGATGTCCCCTCTAAACCATCGTACTGGAGGTAGAAAAATTTCCTTCAGTAAGCTGTGAGACATTGATCTCATAAGCAGGTAGAAGACATTGCATGGATCTCCAAAGACTTCGCCGCGCCTTCTACGATGCCTACCTCTTAAGGGTGGGGAAATCCAAATTCCTTCTCACCTTCCCTACCACCGTGCTTCTCACTCACCATAGCCGACTCGACACTGTTGCGTCGCAAGCGTCGGTAGGGTCGACGGGTGTCAAGCCGTCGTATCCAAGCCAGTCCCGCCGCAGACCCCAACGATCCATCAGCCCTGTTGACGCACCCGTCTCCATAAGTCCGTTGAAGGCTCCCCTTTCTCCTCCCCGAATTTCGTCAACTAGCTTTTGCCTTTATTCGAACGTAATCTTGTAGACAAAGAAGCGATCCTAGTCTTGTAACAAAGGGTTGGGAAAGCTTAAAGATTAATCACTGATCAACCTGCTTCCAAGTCAAAAAATAAATTGAATGGACATTGATAGATAGATCTGTGAGTAAATTGCGGAGTAAACATATGGACAGATAGGTGAAGGTAGGGATGGATAAATGAATGGTGAGTTAATAGCCCTTTGACTAGCCAATGGACCCAGGGTTAGCAATTGGAAATTTGAATGAATGCACAAGGGACGAATGATGTAATGGACATGAGTTGAAGCGGTAGATTGTCTGCAAAAGTTCCCCACCGCGGTTCTCTTTCTTTCTTCTTGACAGCCGATGAGTCAGATGGGAGCGCCCGTCAAAGCTCCTACACCTCCACAAATTCCCCGATCTCTCTACGAGCGCCCTCCCGCGTCAGCTCTGTCAATCGTTCGCTCTCGCGTGTTACCTCGATGTCGAAACATCTCGACTCTCCCGCCAGTTTGCGGTCTCGTGTGAGAGTGCGTCCGACGGCACCGAATCTCCTGGTTTATGAGTACGAAGCCTAGTCGATGGAACTTTTCCAAGTGCCTCTGCTCAGTCCTGACTCCCTTCTCGAACCCCTTGATCTTGTCATGACTACTTGGGTGTTGTCCATTTTGCTCTCTTGAAACAAAATCCCAAATTCTCTCCCTTTCTTCTCTAATGCAGACTCAAGCACAGGTCTGTTTTAACTGAGCCTCTTAAACAGCTCCTCCTCTTCTTTCTCTTCTGCCCCTTTTCTCTGTTATCACTACCACTGCTGAATAAACCAGAATTGCAATTTTTCTCTCCTGCTTCCTGAACTTTGTTCCTTTGCCAGACAGGGTGTAGGCTGACATCTCGAAGGGACACATCGGATCGATCATGGACGGATGGATTGATGAATGTACTTATGGATAAATGACCAGATTAAGAATGAATGGATGGATGATGTCCGGATTGGTAGATGGGTGGACCCAAGGATAAACGGACTTGGAATGGACGGAAGTTATTCAAGTGACGCCGGTAAGTCTCCAGCTTTGCAGAGCTTGGCAGAATGATTGAAGATGCCTATGTTGTCCTCTTGAAATGCGAAAGGAAGGGAGTGGGAGGCATTCGGTGGAACATGAAGAGAAAGCTATATTGATAAGCCAACAAGCTAATCTGGAATTCTCGGATGGCTAAGAGGTGGATGCGAAAAAAATACAAAAACCTTCTTGCAGGATTATTACCATTTCATCCTTCTCTATTAAAGCGCAAGGCAGTTTGAAGACCTATGCGAGTCAGGGGAATGTGGAGAACTGAGAATGAGAATTGAGATGAGGTGGTACCTCCACAAAATGCTTCCAAAGAAAAAAATTTTCTTACAAGTAACCACACGCACAGACAGAGTGCTGTGAGGTGAAAATGGTGTGTACCGCGGAAGTAGGTGAATCGGGAATAACAAAAAATAATTTGGTTTTTTTACAAGGTGGGATACGGAATCCATTTCAAATCACAAGTTAATCAGCAAATGCTTTACATTCGAAGCCAAAATGATTGCTGACCCTTAGAGCCAAATCAGTTTTTGCTAAGCCATCCGCATTTTTTTACCTTTTATAACATTTCCCTTTAATTGATGTAGCTACAAGCCAAACGCCTCTTCGTGTGCAACAGTAGACAATGACTGAAAGTTCGTGATAAGTTAGTGTAATGCAGATGAAAGGCTACTTTAAAGGATACACAGCCTCGATAGCTGGACGCCTTTAACGTTTAATTCACTGTTACCTAAGTCAGAATCAAAAGTTACTCATCTGACGCAAATCAGAGAGGAATTTTAGCCAGAACTGCCAACTTCATCAGTCAAACTAGCCCCTCCTCACCGCCTATGGCCGAAGCACCGCGATGATTGGCTCGTTCAAGGTCAAACAAGCCAAATGAGGTTTGGAGGGCTCTAGTGGACTCGAGGCGGAGGGGAGGGGAAGGGATGGCTACCACCTTTGCATGGGAGTCGACAATCCTACGATCAAAGCGGAACAGACGGGTGGAGAATTAAAGTGAGATAGAGTTGCAAATGGGGAGAGCTGAGTTTGGCTGTTTGCTCCTCGAGAAAGGTCCCTTTACAAAAGCGGTGTTCGCAGTTAGTTTGTATCCTATTGATAAAAGATTTTGAACTAAAATGGTAAACAACCGCAAAGAACAAATTTCGAGGGGCTTCCCAAAGTTAATTGACATTTTTAATTATGGCAAATGAACCAACTCATTTGATTGTATTCTCCCAAATATTTCTCTCTGGTAAGAAGTTAGGATTGCATGAACACATGTCGCTACCTATTGCGAAAAAGAAGCAAATACTGCTTGGAGGGAGATCAACTAATTCGCTTAAAAATAGGCCATTTTTTGCTTCGAAGTCAGTTGTAATTAGTAGGTAGGAGGCACATTCGGAACCCTAAATCAAAACTTCCGATGCATCGCCACTTTAACTAAGCTATTGAAATAGAGACAACTTTTAAAATACATGCCTGGACTGCGTTAGCAATTATCGGCTGCGAGATTTGTACTAGGCGCGAGGAGCTGATTGGCCAATAGTACTATTATTTAATCTTTCGTAAAATGAATGAAAGATGAAATCAACTACATTTTGATGTGTATGAGGGTATCTTACTCAGCAGAAGAATGTGGACCAAAAGGTGGACAAAACCAGGGTGCTTTATTTACTTTCCTTCTGGTCTGTCAGTCTATTGATCACGACAACGGGCCCTAATGGACCAATCAGCGACGTGCTTCCGCGATCCTTGTTTAACGCATTCGCGCAAAGTCCAGAACGAGTTACAAGGAAGTCAGCTGTTAGGTTTGGGAACTTTTACCCATTACCACTGACTCGCTGCACTATAGGTAAAAATAATGATGAAATTGGTGATGGCTAAGGGGGGGGGGAATGGAGGAAATGCCAATTTATGTGTGAATAAGGAATAGAGTCTCATCTATTGGAGCAAGCACGGACAGTGAACTGGAGCCCCGACTTTGCTTGATAGAAGAACACCTCATTTAAATAGGTTAGCTTTTTATCTCAACAAAAGCCATTCCCCTCGATTCCTTGCTAGTAAAGCAGACTCATTGCCTCAAGGAAAGTGACACTAGCGACCCGGCTGCACAAAATTCCCTGATCTACGAGTACGAAGCCTCTGGTCAGTCTCTTCCCAAACCTCCCGGTCTTGACCTTGCCGTGGCCACTTAGTTGTTGTCTGTATTGCTTGCTTGAAACAAAGCTCATGAATTCTCCTCTCCGGATTTGGATGTGGCTCTCATTAACTTTATGCCATTTTCTTCGACGGTGTCACAGCTCTGCTGGATAGATTCGACATTTACGACGGAACGAATCAGATTGCCGAGAGTCTTTTTCTCACCCTCTTACTTTCCACCTGGAGAGTAGGAGAAGTTCTTTTTGTGGGAAGTTTCAATGCAAAAGACCTAGCATCGACATTTAAGTAGGTGGGACGCAATCTCGAAATCACCGGGGTTAGTGGCAAAAACCACGACAATGGGGCATAATTTTGTTTTCGTCCGGTCTGGAGTGAGCACCTCCAATGTTAAGAAAGGGGGAGGGGGAGAGGCGATAAGTGGATTACTTTCCCACCTATCATTTCAACTAGCTAAATGATTTATAAAGTTAAAAGACGAGATAATAAAAAACGTCCCCACAAATGGCTGCAACATAAAAGCAGTAAAAACAAAGACGGGCATTCCCGTTTAAAACCAAAGGGAAAAGTTGGCTTTGATCAAACGGAGTGCCACAGGAATGGTTACTTTTCCATTGAAATGGTTGTTTCATTTAGCTTTACAGAAAAGCAGGCCAATTTAATGCAAGGGTTGACATTGAAGGGTGGACAAAATCATCTCTGTTTTGTATTTATCCAGTGGAAAAAAGAATGCTTTGGATAATAATCGTGGCTTGTCAAATGAAGTGTAACAGGACACATTCCTCGAGGGGTTCCAGTCGGCCTACCTTGCTGCTGTGACGTCGGAGTTAATGCTCTTTCCATTGACGGTCCACTAGGAAAAATGATGAGCCAATCCCCCTCCCACTCCATTTCATGCTAAGCGAAATGTGGATCTCTTGAGAACGGAGCTACCTTCTAACAGGTTCGATAGTTTGACCCTTTTGTCCGGTGGAAAAGGCCCTTCTTTCAAGCCTTCGAGTTGCATTGGAATGATCAACCTTATTTGGCTGGCCTTCAGCGAAGAAATTCAGTGCACAATCACTTCCACAGTCCACACGCAAAGCACAGTCCTGTGGGAATAAATAGTTTTCTGGGAAAGTGGGGTTGTGAATACCCGTGGCGAATACTTTAACTTAACGGATGTCGACCGACAAACCAGCCACCTCTGAAGTTTGTCGATCATCTTGTAATGCATTGGAAACGCGCTACCGGCTAACCTGTCTTTAATAGCCTTTCTCCCCTAAAAGATGCAAATTCGAGCTCTCCGTCTCATCAGTCGCAGTGTCGGACGTAGGAGAAATGCCACCACAATCAAGAATGAAGAACCCTCCTGAAGGTGATCCACCCTCCTTTACCAGCAGAATCAGATGGTGACAGTAGACGAGAGGTCGCCACATTCCTGAGGCAGAGTCAAGCCCAAATCACACCGACTCAACAGGTGGAAGGTGCCAGAGCAAAATAAAGACTACCACACCGATAGAATGATGCCCACTTCTGCTTTGCAGTGCACACAAGTAGACAGTCACATGTCCCTAGGAGTTGCAACAAGCGATTACAGCGAGCTATATCGAAGGTCAGGGGGAGTTTATTCGTCATCTGACAATCTACCTATCCAGTTTAGTCAAGAAATTTTTCTAAACATGCATTACCACTATTTAATGGCAAAGATACTTTACAGAACCAAGTAGTGCTTATTTTACAGACAATTTTGTCCGAAGCACTCGTTCATGAGTGGTCCACAGTCACGGGTAGACTGGAAGATTTGCGATTCTCTGAATCAAGGGAGGAGGAAGAAGAAAAACCGAACATTCGGATTACCCCCTGGTCTCGATCATACTTTGCTTCGCTGGAGTAGGTAAGCAAGTAGTGCTTCGGATGCCAAGCGAGAACGAAGGTGGCTGCTGCCTGAGTGCCCAGACGGTACACCTGTTCACCTATAGCAGAAGAAAAGTAAAAGATGCAAAAAAGGCAGTTTCATCGACACTGGCCAATATGACCTTTCAAAGTCCGTTGCATAACTTTATCCACCTCCTCTGGTGTATGATTTTGTTTTGGCGCTTCCAACGATTTGTTGGAGTTTTCTGCCCTAAAAATAGTTACCTTCTCAAATTAAGTCCGGAATCACAAGAAGGATTCGACAAGAGAACTTCTATCCCCAAGTGCCATTTCCTTTCATAAACAACATGGACGACATAAGAGGAAATAAACACAACAAAGACGCGAATTATGATGAACTCCCTCCAATACATGAAGAGCATTCACCATGAGTCAACTCTTGGGATTGACTAGTTTTCTGTGGGGTAAACATGCATTACGAACAATGACACAAACAAATGCAAACTAAAGGCTAAACATTTACGCGGGCCAATGCTCACCTGTCTCAACACAACCAATATCAATGAAGTGATCTTCACTGGCAGAAGCAATCAGTTGACTGTCATGCGAAAAGCCCAGAGCTCTGACAGGCCATTCTAATCTATAAACATAGAGAAAGTAAGAGCGAAATTGCAAATGTTAGGTGATAAAAGATAGTCTACTGAGGAAAACACACCTAGAGAGCGTTCGAAGACAGACAAACTCATCAGAGTCCCACAATGAAACGAGAGCATCTGCGCTGCCAACAGCGAAATACCCCCCAGAGGGGGAAAATTGAAGACACATTGCGTTAGACGGGTGTGCTTGGAGGATAGTTTCACGCCGCATTTCACCAGGTTTCCCACTTTAATAGAAAAATCAGCAAGTCCAAGAACAGTAGTAACAAAAGGAGAAAGAAGTGATCTGCACACCTATAGACCAAAATTCCACCGTTCCCGGAGGCAAGAAGCATAAGATCACTAAAGGGCTTCCAAGAGAACTCATTAATTTCAAAGCTAAATTGTTCGGATTGAATGGTCTTCAAGTCGGAGCGAACATCCAGCCAGGTAATCTAAGGAAAACGGGTCAAAATAAGCACCCAAACATCATACAAGGTCATTTTTGTTTCCCACTGCAATTGTATGTCCATCTGGGGACCACGCAACGTTGATATTTTCACCTTTAAGTTGTGCTGTAGTAGTGCGTTTGGAACGACAATCCCACAGGCGAACGGTTCCATCCGCTCCAACTGTTGCAAGCGTGTCATTAGCAGAAGGATGCCAAGCCAGTTGGTCAACGCTGTCAGTGTGGCCTCTGAAGGTTTGGAGTTTGCTCTTACAGTTATAGACGGCTTATATGTTGAGAAAGTACCAGACGAGTTGAATCCAGGAAGTATATATTCACGCACTTGTCCGAAGAGGCTGAGGCAAGTTTGCTCCCAGATGCATTCCAGCCGAGGGCGTGAATTTTTCCCCCATAGCCCGGGAACTCCTTCACGCGGTTGTTGAACCCAAAGTGTTGCCGCAAAGCCAGGAGTTCAGACTTATTCATTGTAATATCTAAACACTTGCGTGAAACTGATTAACGAAAAACTAGGTGGGCAACGCAAATTTTGAAGATTGAGGCTAGTGTGGTAAATTTAAAATAGACTTATGATATAAGCCACAAATATCTGCAAAATCTGGGATTGACAGCTAAAGCGCTGACCCGACAAAGTGCACAAAATAAAATAGTTATCAAAAAAGATGTGCTAAAACTCAAAAATTTTTCATCGCTGTAGATGGCGCCGAAATCGCTTGTCAGTTGTCCAAGAATTTAAGTCATAATGTGCGAAAAAATATTTTTCCATAATCGGTAATGGTGCAATCCTTCTTGGGACCTGTAGTCGATACAATCTGGATTATCGTTGTCTACACACCAGCTTGAACTACCATAATTTGTAGAACAATAGTGGCGTATGACTTCTGTCAAAGTGATAACTGATAGCTCCCTAGCAAACTACTAGCAAAAATTATTGATAGCTTGATGAGCAATGCTGTCACTTTCCCCCATGCTATGAATGGCTAGTTTTTATTTAACCTCTGGCCTTCCACATTTTAGCCTACGTGCAGTTTCACGATGCTTCATCTAAAGCAAGGTGGGTGTTAGCGGCTTTATGTCTTATTGAACAATATATACTGTAGGTATCACACGATCGCGCCCAAATATTGCATAGTTCTGGTTTAGCGTGTTTTGAAAATTGGACCTGAAAAGCACGTGTTGATCTTAGCTTGACTTTTTGTCGGATTCCGATGTTGTTAGTGAATTTATTAGCCTGTTTCAGGTTAAGAAATAATTTCATATTCCTTCAGGTGATCCAGAACCGGTGGTTAATCCAGATAAACTCACATTATACGACTTCAAGTTTTGTCCTTTCTGCCAACGGGTTCGTTACACCCTTGATTACCACCATATTCCGTGAGTTTCATTTACGGTGAATTCACATCCCTTATGCCGATAAACAAGCACTGTTTTTCTCTGGGTAGGTATGATCGTGTTCTGATAAACCTTATCAGCAAACCCGATTGGTACCTTCGATTGCATCCTGAGAGGAAGGTTCCGCTGCTACGATTTCGTGGGGAACGACTTGTCGAGTCCGATTTAGTGATGCGTTTCGTTGACCAGTTTAATGGTAAACCGGAAACCAGTTTGTTAAGCATCTGTGGTGAGGAAGCCTTCCAAAACTCTTTGGCTCTTTCTGCTGAGGTACGTTGCACTTCCGTCTCCCAGTGGAATCATTCTGATGCATCTCTATTTTATCTCCAAAAGCTTATTTGAAGAGCTTATCCTCACATGCTGTTGCTTGCACACTTCACGCCTTGATTACCTGTGTCTAAGATAAATGTCGGCATATTTCTCTTTAACTATTGCGTATGTCACCGGCACAGCATAATCATTTTCAACCTGTGCCCAGTTTTGTCAAAAATCTATCAGTCCAAGAGAGGCATTGTGTGCGAAGAAGACAGGAATTAACTCATATATCCCTCTCCGACCTCCTTTTCTAGTTGGCACGACCAAGATTTCGAGTCGCTTACTGCCTCGACGCTTCAGCTGCTGACGTGGACGAGTTCGTTGCAGCTTGTGGCAAAATTGAGGCAGCTTTAAAACGGCCCTACCTTTGTGGTATGCTTTTCTTCCTTTTTTTGCTCCTTTTTTAAAGTTTTTTAAGAAAATAATTGACGTGTTTCATCTTTACTACAAGATTTTGGGCAGTGAGTTTATAACCGTTTGAGGCATTTAAAAATCTGAGTGTTTGTTTACCTTGAGGAATATTCCAGTGATTGGTTTTACAACTTTGATAGCAAATAGTCACAGATTCTCTCGATTTGCCATTTTTCTGAAATCAAATGTTCATCCATTTGAAGCGTTTCAAGTCTCTTCTGAATCTTTAATGAGACATGCCAAATGCGATGCCAATGGCGATAAAGGAGTTCTCATAGTTATATATAGATCTAAGCTCTGTCCTTGTCCCATTTTGAGGGTTGACATCGGTGTTTCTCGTGGCCACTCCTCAACTTCAGTCATAGTACGTCCTTGTGTGAATTGCTGTAGGCATAGACGGAAGGCAAGTCACCGTGCAGAAATAAAAATTAGAACAATGGGGAGGCAACGTATTCGTTCGCACACATTTGGGTATGTTGAATAACCCATTTATTTACTTAGCTGGGAAAAGGAACTTGTCCAATTTCCTTGGATTCCCAACACTTATTTTGGTGGAAGTTCTAGGCTGCCTATCTCCTTTGTGTCATCTTTGTTTGAAGAATTTCCTTTCGGAGAGGGGGTAGCTCCATATTCATTTCCATTCTTTTAACTCGAGGTTCTCTAGGAAATCTGCGAAATGGGTAACGTTTTATTGCGTAGAAGTTTCCTATATGAAAGACTTAACGACTAATGCCGCGTACGTCTAGTACCCAGTTTTTTCCTACACAGACTTGGCGTCACATGTACACGATAGTGTTCCTTAACGGTTTATGGTAGCTCCAGTTGCACCGAATTGTGTGTTATAAACAGGTTTGTTGAGTTTAAGGCAAAGTAGGCGTGGAAGAATGTTTTCACCAGAAAAGACAATGTCTCTAGTAGGGTGAACTAATGGAGACCAATGCTTTTGGAGGTATTCGTTTGCGTTTGCATCAATCAGGGTGGTGGAAGCTAAGCTACTGAGCCAGTCCTTTACAAGCGCTTTAAAGATGACAAGCAGTCAAAGACTATCAATTGCTTGTTCTTTTTTCTCCATGTACGCTGCAGAAGTGCGCACTTTTTAGGTGGTCGTTGACCGGCTGACTGGCTAGTTAGCTGCCTGTCCTGTGGTGCAAAATGACTTTTTTATTCCGACACATAGGGTTGTCCTCAAACCTTTCACTCACTACCCAATCCGCACTTCTAAGGCACGCACCTCATTCCCACTAGAGCATGAGTACTTTGTGTATGTAATACACTTCGGACACAACTGCTCACTTGTTGAATGCCAAGTGGGAGGCACCACTAAGATCTAGCTACTTGATGCAACCTCAATGTGGTCACGATGGGAAGGATGGGTTAAGAAGGAAAGGAAGGGAGATGCTACCTTATCTTCTGTCTTCTTCGGCTTAATATTTACCTGTGATGATTCCCACCTCAGCTATAGTAGACAATCGCATGTGAAATGAACAGCCTGGAGGTAGAAACGTGGTAGACCTAGGAGTGGGACTAGGAATAGTGCTTTGCGGAAGTGTAATTCGGAATTTCTTTCTTTTATGATCATGAAGGCATTGTAGATTGTGGTGTTAACTATTTCAACCACATGAGACCAGTTATTTGCCTTTTGGTATGTTCTCCCCGTTGACGAATCAAGTGGATGAAACAAACGTCGGAGACCTCTTGTTTATTCTTCCGTCTGTTGAATACGACAAACGAAACAACTTTCTTACAATGCTTTCAACCGTTATTTCTCGTCTTTCGTTTGCAAAGTCGTTGCAAGATCCTTTCTTCGTTCCTTGTTGCCGTGGTTGCCGTGAGCTGGACGTCTCGAGCGCTCAGTGTAGTGGATAGATAGAGAATTTTATCCTTGTACTGGGTAGTTTGAATTTGTGCTCTTAATATCCACCCGCTCTTGTTCACAACGCCCCGGGTGTGACGAAGTACTGCCACTTCTTCCTTGCTGTGGGAATTTCATAGCCTAGTGTTCAGGGATGTCTGGTTTATTTGATGGATCTAGTCATATAACCAGTTAACTCTTCTTACTCTCTTCGCCGTTTTCAATAGTCACTTCTTGAAACTGTCTCCCATGAGAGGGGAGAGTCTTTTGCTAAGAGGTAGTAGGTGGGTCTCAGTGAGAACATACTAATCTTTCGTTTTTCGATGAAGCAAAAGTGCTACTGGACAATGGCTATCTGGTCCCGAACCAATAGGGTGATCTGGTAGCTTTTCACTTTTGTAAGACCTTTAATTTTTGCCAGTAATTTCTGTTTTATTTTGTGTGACTGTGCCAAGCACGACTCTCCATGCAAATTACATGGTGAAAATTTTATGTGGCGCTAAATCGACGCAATAAAATTCACCTCGGTAATGCCTCCATCATCAAAGACAGCGACTTGTTTAAGTGCACTTAAGTAGTCATTTTTCATCTATCCCCTCATTCTAATATTAGATCTGTCTCCTACGTATTGGGTGGGTCATTTTCAAGATTATAATTGCCTACTAGAACGGAGACAATTCCCCTACTTCGTTGACGTACTTGTCCTACTCCTAGAAGGCATATTTTGGTTTCAAAAGAATTGTCGGTACGGCCGAGTCAACTCAGGACAGCATGCAGCAACTTCTCCACATTGCGAATGGACATGATTGATTGCATTCTGCTTACCACTCCCACATAGGGATTCATCTTTCGTGGGATCCATCCATCCTGCATCCATCCATCCATCCTGGATCCATCCTTCCATCTATCCGTCTGTCTGTCCAACTTGGCTCTGCGCCACTATCTACATGTCCTTTGATGTACCTGTGCATCCATTTGAAGTGTATACGTCTAGATGGGATTCATTCAACCATTACTCCGTATATGTATGCATCCTAAATCTACCTATGTGTCCATTGGTTTATCCCAGATCTGTCGATTTATTCCTTACTTAATCATCCATCCAGCACGTACTCATCTCCCTGTCTATCCACATATTTACACTTTTTTGTCTATCCTGGTATCCTTCCGTCCTGACTACTCATCTCCGTGTACTTTCACATTATTCACTCCCGTCTTCACTTATCCATCTTTGATATGTTCAACTACTCTAGTATCTACTCCTCTATCCTTGTCTATCTCTACATTACAAATGAGGTCTTATTTAAGCTCAGAAAATGGAGTTCACTGGTGTGGTGCCAGATTTCATTTAACAAGGCTATGAGAGGCAAATACTTTCTTTCTAGGTGACAAAGTCAGCCTAGCCGACTTGGCTCTGGTACCATTTCTCAACTACTGGCATTTCACGATGCAACGTCTCACCGATCTCAAGGCGGACACAACGGAGGAGGGCATTTCCACCACCTTTCCAAAGTTGTGTCAGTACCGTGAGGTGATGCTGTGCCAGCCTTATGTGGCTGCCACCGCCTGTGATGAGAACGACTATGCCAAGTTTGTCCAATTCTGGCGCGTCAAGGATACAAATGCATGCTTCTAGTCATCTCCTCATTCCTCTTCCTCCTCCTCTATTTGGCAATGTTGTTTCGCATCCCAAATCTGCTTTATGCTTTTAAAGAATAGCGTCAACGCGTGATTTTTTGTTATCTTTATCGACAATCCACTTTTTTAATTCTACTTTGTTGATAATTATGTTGTTGCTTTCGTTGTTATCTCGTTGCATTTTTGGCTGTTGAAATAAACATGTACTCAATTTTTCCCACATGGAAATTTATTCTTTTCTTCTCCCGTTTGTTTGTTTCAATTGTTTCCCTTTATTTTCACTTCTAACATCGCCTTTCCTGTGTACTACGCGATGTCTCCAATAGACGAACGGATGGAAGTAGACAGGAGGGAAAAGAGCCTGACGTTCTGCTTTTAATGTTGAATGTTCGCATTTGACAAGAAGATGCGAATTTTGGAAGAGAAGTTTAGCTTTGAAGCCATTGCTCTAGCCGCAGTCCCGCTCATTTCCATTTCTACCGCACTTCCACCTCCTGGATTGCCATCCCACATGTGATTGTCTACTATAGCTAAGAAGGCGTGACAGTCATCAATTTGGGAAGAGCATGAAGGTAGAGATGAGGACGAGGAGGGGGAACGAGGTAGCATCTCCCTCATTGCCTCTGTTCCTCCCATCCTAACCGCTTTGAAGTCGTATCGAGTAGCTATACCTCAATGGTGTCTCCTGCTTGGCTTCCAGCAAGTGAGCAGTTGTGTCTACGACACACTGCATATATATTCTGATGGCAACGAGTAGGTGTGTGGCTTAGAAGTGTGGATTTGTGTAGTGCGTGGAAGGTTTGCCGACAATTAGTGCTATGCCAGAATACAATGCCAATTTTTCATCACTGTACAGTTGGCTGGCTAGGCAGTCAGTCAAACAAGCAAACAGTCTGCGTTTCTACAGTGTACGTGAAGAAAGCGAAGATGTGATTGCCTGTCATCGGTGAACTCACTTGTGAACACTCGGCACAGTAGCTTAGCTTCCACCACCTCCCTGATCCACACAGCCGGAAACGGATACCTCCAGAAACGTTGGGCTCCACTGATTTGCCCCATCAGAGACACCTGGTTGTCTGTTCTCGTGAAGGTTAGAATGTCCTCCCAAACATGGTACATTCGTGTTGGAGTGGTTCATCATAAAATCACCCTCACCAGCTGCCAGACATAAAGGGTGCCGGGAAGTTCATTTCAGTGGCGTTGTAATCGAGTTAAAGGCGGCTTGTATAACCGACAATCTGGAATGATGTCAGATATGTTCTAGCGAAGAAACAATAAACAGCTTCTCCGTCAACATTCTATGATACATGTTCCTGTCGACTGCAGGAAGTTTTTGCAACGAGGTCACATCGATAACTGCGTCAACTTCTTTGGTCATTCCATTAATCCTTCTCCTCCTCCTCGATTGCGGTTGAATCACATGTTGAATGTTTTTTCTCCTCAAAGAAACACCAATTGCATTCCCAAAATGGATGCCGCTCGTAATTTTCACCTCCGTGTCGCTTTTCCTATTGAAATGCAAAATCATGCAAGCATTTTTGGACACCTGGTTCCATTAGGGGTCTGAAGTTCTCTCACGCCTTGTTTTCCTTTCATTTACAAGGAATGGCCATTAGAATATCTCCCTCCTTTGTTTTCTTTTGCCCTTCGACTGCTCAAACTGGCTCTCCACAGGCGGTTCTTTTTTGCCAGCTTATTTTCTGCTTGAATTCAAAAATTCGTTTTGTTACTCCAGCAAAACTGTTTTTTTTTCTGTTCAAGAGTACCACCTTGGTCGTTAGCTCCGCCCATTCGTACACTAATGGACTGGTGTCTAATGTCCCCTAATGCATTTTGTTTTTACAATCTGAAAATCACTTTATTACTCTACCTCTACGCAAAACAAAAGTAACAGAGGAAATGACAACCCATTTAGGCTAAACGCAAGTCTCCCTGGACGGTGCTGGTGGCCTCAAGGCGTCCACATGACCTGGGATTTTGTTGCCTTCGCCCATGGCCGAGAGTAGACCAACCGGGTGTCTTTCGACAACACGTCTGGGGTCGTCGTCTTGTTGTTGATGACGATGATACAGACCCTTCTCATCAATCCACCCTTCTCGTTCTTGCTCATTCACCTGTGGCAATGCCGGATCAAACAAGTGAGTTCAAAAGGTTAAATATCGGCTAACACAGAATATCGCAAGCCTTGAAGGAGTGATGAGATGGTCGGTAATGAAAATAGGGAGATCAAACGGTTGCCTTGGCGTCATAGCTACTTATGGCAATATGAAACCTGGGAGTGTGGGCGAGTTAGGCACTAAATGACAAGGTCTATGTGGAGGAAAGATCAAATTGTGACCTTGACATCGTAGACGTCTATCATCTATCTCCTCATAGTAATCCTGAATAGCGGGGTCTGGAAGCTAGAAGTGAATTTGAATGTTGAATAACTTCCGCTATTTCCTGAGCTGCAAGTGAGTGTAGGAGCTACATTGTGACTTTGAAGTCATGGGTGTCCAGCAGCGTAGTCAACGTTGACAGGGCTCCAAACCACCGTCTTAGAGGCCAAATTGTGTATGACTCGCAGGACCTCCGCAAAAAGTGGGGACATGAATGTAGATCCTCTATTTTTCAATTCCAGATTGCGCTGGAGTTCCTTTTCTACTACCGGGAATCGAAAAGGAGGTTCAGGGTGACATCTCGTGTCTTATGCCCGGTTGCAGATATGCTACTGTCTCGTTTCTGGAGGCCAAGTCATTGTAAGTGGATGAATGGATGGATGCTGAAGTGGGGAGAGCACTTTACCTTCCTGATTTTGGACGGTGCTATAGGTGTCACGACTACATTCTAAGGTTCTAGACGCTTATGACCAGATTGGTTACGTCACCCCTACTGGCAGCAGACGACATGAGCCAGTTCTTAATACTTCCTGCATTTATGGTGACGATCCTCTCGACAACACTCTGAACGTAGGGGTTCATGATGTCGTTTCACTTCTGTACAACATCTTGTCTCTAGAAGTAAACAATCCAGTCCCAGCCATCACGTTTCTATTTCGCTTTTCCTTACCAATTTGTCCCCCCTCCCCTGATTGCACGATGGCGTAGAAGCGGAAATTCGCTCCTTCAGTTTCAGGAAAGCTCTTACCAAAGCCAATCGCTTAAATTGTTGTATCTTTTTGCCTATAGAAATTGGCCATTCTGCTCCACGGATGAATCTTTTAATTCACCATTCTATCCGTCTACCAAATCTGCCGCTTTCGCGACGCTCTGGATTACCTTCGATGCCAGGAGTCTCCTTCCGGGTCTTCACTCAATCAGTTGTAACGGGATCACGACTTTGCGGAATCGAATCGGTGATCTCCCCTTCCTCTTAGTTCAAAATCTCTCACTGGAACCTCCTCCTCCTCGTTATTCCGCAAATCCTCCCGATCCACCTCCTCCACAAACCCTTTCCTCGCCAGGATCGTGGAGTTCCATCAAGTACGTTTTTCGACCCTTACCCTCTGCGCGGTTCCTGATAATTTACTCTGCGTCCTTTCCTTCAGATCATGGGTTGTCAAAGCGTCCAACCAAAGCTACACTCTTCATCTTCTTGGTCGATATTTCACTAGTCGTAAAACGACCCTTCCAACACTTCTTATTCTATCTTTTGCTCTTCAATTGATTCTATGTCTTTTACTTGCCTTGGTATTTCATCTTCTCGCCTTTTCGCCCTCTTCTCAACGGCTTTGTCACACCTATAGCCAATCTATGAATCAACTTACCCTCCTTTTACGGTCTCTCCGCTCCAAGAACATTTCCCACTCCAACGGAAGTTGTCTAGTTCTGCATCACCTCAACAAGAATTCAAGAATTTGTTACGCTGCGGAGGGACCCAGCCAGCAAAAGCCTACAGACGTGCTGAATTCTTTCGCAGCGCTAGCATTAGACTCTCTTCAACATGGCTGCGTCTCCGAATTTGTTGCATCTTCAAGTGATTACTTTGCTTCGGAATTGAATCGTCTCCTCATTTGGTTGGGCTCCTCCGAGCCTGCTGGCTGGAAGATAAACCGAAATCTCTCTCTTCTCATGAGTCGATTCTTCATCTCCCACGTTGCTGCATGGCGCGTCTACGTCCACTTCCTTATTCATATCTCCTCCAGTACCATTTACTGGATCTATTATATCTTTGTCGTTACTCTTCACGTTAAATACTTCCATCTCATTGTCTTTCTTCTCTCTGAAGCCTTTCTGGAGGTTTATTTGAACCGTGATAACTGGAGAAACAATCTTGTAGATCTCTTCTCTTCCTCTGTCCGACTAGCTGCTGCGTTAGTAATCTGCTTCTGCTTGGACCTTCTGGTTCTGGCAACTCTACATCTCTCCTGTTTCTACGTTTATACCGTTCGGTAGGTAGTTTGAATTCGAGGAAGCATTTCGGCTTCGTAGACTTTTTAGGGTTCAACTTCTTGCTGTTGCCGCAAGCTGGAGGCTATGTCGATCGGGTTCAAAGTGGAATCCCCTACGGGGTCGTGTTGACTCAATTCCCCAGAATGACGACATCCCACCAGTGGTGGCTAGTGCGGTTCTAGTGTCTGAGGAAATGGAAGGCGAAGAGGAGAGCGTTGAAAATGCTCCTATGCCTTCCAGCCAGTCGCGACATCTGGATCGGGTGTTTGTGGCGACATTTCTTGGAGTTGCGACGGGACTGTGCTTGCTACCAACAACGGTGGCTTTCTATGCTACATTTTCTGTGGTGAGTTTGCAAGCTGCCAACATTTTGGAAACATACCGCATTCATCATCAGCGTCACGTATGTGTGACGCCCAGATTTTTGTACTTGAGTCAGTTGATGATAACTGTAGTTGCACCAAGTGGAGTGTCACAAACAGGTTGACTGAGTTCTAGATTCAACTATTTACATCCGTTTCTAGTTTGATAGGTCGATTAGGCAGCGTAATTGTCAATTTTGCAGTAGAAAAGTAGAATATCCGTGCCGTAGTGTTCAATTTTCCTCCAAGACAGTCTACCTAGCAGTGAACACGTTGAATGCGTACGGATTAATTGCTCGGATTTTCTCTCTAGATCTACATTGTCCTGGTCTGTGTGAAAGCCATTCTTACTCGTATTGTCTGTGTAATTCTGGCGTTTCCGCTTGGAGCCGTCGTTTCTTGGAGTCTGGATAACGCGTCTACTCGAAGTAATTTCATTATTTCCTCCTGAGTGGAAGCTAACTTGCCATTCGGCAGTCCTCGGCTATCGAATGGCATGGCTAGCCTTCCGTAGTGTTTGTAAAAGCCTGTTTTTCCTTTGTGCCTACTTCTTTCTCCCCAATTAGCTAACCTCGTTATCACAACACCAATTCTGGATTCTGTTCGTGTTCCATTTCTTTCTATGGAGGTAAGGTGTATGTGTCTGTATGCTGCTTATCTATGCGTGCGGGAAGTGCTATGCTTGTTTCTTTTTTATACCTTTCAGTTGGTTAGAGGAAGTCTGAGAGATACTGTGAAACGGCATTCCCTATTTGACACGGAGAAATTGTTTGGAAAGCGATACACTGTGGGCACGGTGCTAAAAAGACTCGTTTGTGCCAATCTGCTTTACCCCCTATCGGAGGACTGATTTTTTTGCAGGCTGTTTTTTCTGTTTTGCCGTAGAAGTTTCCAGTAAAGGTGTTCCGCAGGCGAGGGCGGGTTTCGGGAAAATCCGGGGGAGGGGGTACTCCGTGTTTTGGCTTTGCAGGTATCGAGGTCGTTTTTTGGGATGGGGAGTGGGGTTGATGGGGGGTTTCGAACTGCGGTGGTAAGGTTGGCCTAGGCAGACTTCTGGAGGATTCGAGGTCACCCAGGGTGGGTCCGTCTTCTGTATCACAACTCCTGGGGCTGCTTGGCATTCTGATTAGCCTTTCGAGGATGTAGCTAACCGTAAATCCGATACGGAGTTGCTGAATGTATGAGTCAGAACCCGGTAATTGTGGCTTAATGACACAAAAAAGTCAGGAGGGTTTCGTGAGTTTTTGCGTTATACATCTATTGCCAGTGTAGAGCGAGACTCACAGGTCTCCTCTTCCCTGTTCCTGGTGCTCTTAGAACAACCCCGGTTGATTTAATTTCGACATATTTTTAAGGAAGAAATGGAGAACAAGTACAAAGTTCGGGGAGGGGAGGAACC